GTGCTCCCCAGGCATGTTACTCATCAATCGAAGTTGAACAAAAACATTTTACGTTCCGCACAATAATGTAAACCTATTCGCAAGTGTATTCATTTCCACACACAAAAATAGCTAAATTTGTTTTATTATTGCTTAATTATAAAACCGTGTATTTCAATTATTGAAACGCCGCGTTTTCATCAGTCGATCGGTTCCACGCCGATCCTTGTTATCAGATTATAACTGGGTAGTGCGTGAGGTCAATGCACGGACAAGCATACAATTGGGTGTGTATGACTCAGCAATATTCAATGTCTCCTCATTATTGCACCTATCGCTTGGACAATAAGCCCGCCATGATTCAGCGACATTTCGAAGAATGTTTTTTGTGAATATACTATATATGCCGGAAAGAACGTTTTCTTTTATATTACCACACTATCGATGTTTTTTCCTCGTCAAGTTGCCGCTGCAGGTATAATTATTTTTTTTTTCGAAATCTTGGGGTATTATAACTGAATTAAAGAAATCCACAATTCTCCCTATTGCATGTAATAAATCACCATCGTCAGAATCAGGTTTGTATGACGTCATAGCTTTACAATCGTAATCACACATTAATGCAAACCTTTATCTCTAAGAATATTCATTTCAACAAAAAGATTCCCAAATTTAACTGAATTTATATAATTCTGATGCAAGTGACTTATAGCAAATCATAAATTTCCTTAATTCGCAACATTTTCACTGGGTTCTGGACAACAAGAAGTCAAGACTTAGGTCAACACGAACATCTTTAAAGTAGAATGGTACTTTTGTGTTTTTGACAAATGTGCACATTTTCGCCCTTGTAACAATATTTCCTGTCATATTACGTAAATAATGTTTTCAATTACCCTTCAATCTCAGTCTTTTGAGGAAAACTGGTGGATATATCTTGAGAAAATAATAATCTTCTAGGCCCAGAGATTGCACAATAGAATCATAGGACACTATTTGTTATGTTATTTACAAAGTCTTTTGTTATCCATTGTAATTTTAATCTAGAAAGTAAATTTGTTGTGAGATTAGGCTTAACTGGAAGTGTCCCTTTAAAGTTCAGGATTAAATATTAAGAACGTCATTTGATACACCGTATAGTACATTCGATGCAAAACAAAAGATACATATTTAATGTCATAAGAATATTGTGCAAATACTGAATTCAAAAAATACAAGCCAAGTGAAATCAGGGACCTAAAAACTCGTACATTACAGTTAATGTCTATAGAAATTATATTTGGTTTTAACCTTGATATAAACCAGTAAAAGTGAAGTATAATTAACTAACCGTAATACATAATATAACTTTAGATTAATCATTAATGATACTATTCACCCATCTGTTCTCTAGGTCACAGGGAGCAATAAAGGAATCGGATTTGCAATAGTGAGGGCGCTGTGCAAAGAGTTTGAAGGTGATGTGTATCTCACAGCTAGAGATGAAGAAAGGGGAAAGAAAGCTGTGGAGGATTTAGAAAAAGAAGGTCTTCATCCCAAATTCCACCAGTTGGATATCACAAACCAAAAAAGTATTGATAATCTACAGAAGTATTTGAAAGATAAATATGGAGGACTTGATGTACTTGTCAACAATGCATCTATAGCATATAAGGTATAAAGAGTGTTTCCCTTCATAGACTATAGCATATATAATGCACTTATACTAAGTTGTTGCGTTGTATTTTATTAATAATATTATATATAGAAGTCTAAGTTTTGAGAATATTGTCATGAACCAGAACCGGGGGGCACTGGCCATTTTGAGTTTGGTAGGGTAAGTAAACCCAAGACGCCATCATAGACCATTTTCACCTAAAAAACTATTCCCCTTTAAAGACCAAATAGTGATTTGGTCGTATTATTTAGCTGTTTGGTCTAGAGTGAGGTATAGATTTGCTCCCCTTTTGGTTCAATATCCGGTTTGCCGGTCTATACAAATTTATACCTCATTCTAGACCAAACAGCTAAAAATTACAACCCCAAAGGGCGACACGTCCTCATAATGTGATTTGCATTAAGTGACAACCCCGGGAACCAGATGACAATGTTTATTGTGTAAAATCGTGCTATAGTTGCATAATAACATGAGCACCATTCTGGTTTGTGGTATAATACCAAATACTGACATTATGACACATAATACCTAAAGTCAATAATCTTACATTGGTAAGCTTTATTGCAATATAGATACATTCAGGTAGTTTCATTCATCAGTACGCTTCTACCTTAAGTATATTTGACACAGTGTCTGTATAATAATATTCTTTCTAGGTAAAAGATGTTGCTCCTTTTGCTGAACAAGCTAAGGTTTCAGTGGCTTGTAACTTCACAGGAACATTAGATGTATGTAAAGCGTTATTACCACTGATCAAACCACATGGCCGGTAAGGGTTATCGATATAAAAATGAGGATCATTCAAATAGTTTATAGTTATATCTAGGAGAAAACAAGCTCTGTAGTAATTAACACTGAATTTGAAGCTCCAACTTGAATGAAGAGTCAATAATTTGTTAGAGTAACTTATTTGTTATTAGTGTGAAATAAAATATACAGTTTGATATGGATTTAAAGATTTTTTTCTATGAAAATAATTAGTGTGAATTTTACCTGAAAACGTTGTTAATTTCGATTTGGTATTTGCCTCTGCCTCTGCATTGTGAGCAGACCCCCCCCCCCCAAGAGCAATCGTAGCTGAATATGTTGTACTGACTACTTGACTTTATTTAAGAGGGGGGTTACTGTGTAGTCTGGCACAGTGAGATGATAATTTCCCTAAAGTGGCGAAGCAATATGTCATTTTAGTTAGTTTTAATGTTGCTTCTGTTCCAACACATTCAGTTAGTATCAAATGTTTTTTTTTAAATATTTGTGTTACAGAGTTGTTAGTGTTGCAAGTCTTGCTGGAACATGGGCTCTAGAAAAGATGAGTCCAGAACGTGCTAGTAAATTCAAATCACCCAGTCTGACAGAAACTGAGCTTGTGTCTCTTCTTGAAGATTTTGTGAAGTAAGTTAACACATGATATTGCCAGATTCTGACACAGTGTATCATTGTAAAATCTGATCACATACATCATATGCACTTGTTGTATTTATATATATTGATATGACACCATTTTATATTAAAGCGCTGCCAGCGATGGAACTCACACTGAGAAGGGTTATCCTAACTCTGCATATGGTACATCTAAAGCTGGTGTAATTGTATTGACTGGAATGCAAGCACGTGATTTAAAAAATGACCCACGAGAAGACATCCTTATTAATGCAGTGAGTAAACTACGAATTATTTTACTTTATTTGAAAGGGAAAACAATAATTTCATTTGAATAAATATATTAAATTAAAAGTATAATTGTCACATAATTTGTAAAAGAAAAAAATAAATTCTCATTATGATCTTTGGAATTATAACTGTATAATATAGTAAGAAAAAAAGCAGGTCACGAATCATTTGTATTGTGCGTTTCTAAACTGTAATTTATATATTAATGATGCAGACTAATGAGATACAATATTTTATATTTCAGTGTTGTCCTGGCTATGTGATGACTGACATGTCAAGCCACCAAGGAACAAAGACTCCTGATGAAGGAGCAGAGACTCCTGTGTATCTTGCTTTACTACCACCAAATGTCGGTCAACCACAAGGAGAAATGTTGTCAGACAAGAAGATTGTAAAATGGAGATGAATACCGAATATACCTAGTTTATTCATAATATTACTACATTTACTTACAACATCATGCCATTGATACTCACTAGAAAACTAGCCATTCCAAGTTATAAATTATATTGAAATTTTTGATGTAAACATATCCATTAATCTTGTTTTAATTTTACTTGCACAGTCTGTAGTCTTAATGTGTATTAATAAAATTGTATTGCTTGTAACAAGTGAAGGCGCTAATCCCGAGTTGATTTTTAAAATACAAAAAAAAATATCATAATACGATTTATTTAACATCTCATATCAACCAAAATAAATTTTATGGCAAAAACGTAAAATCTCAATGACAAACATATATTAAGCACTGTGTTGTATAATGTTTTCAGAAAAAAAATACGTTCAAACCATTTTTGTCATTTCAAACATTTCAAACTTCTTTTTTTTTAGCTCCGATGACGACTTTGTTGAGCTGAGCTTATCATACGAGTGATTTTCCGTTATTGTCCTTGTAAACTTTTCGACTTCTTTTTGAAAACTACAAGCCTGTTTGCTTTGATACTTGGTGTATTTGTACCGTGATGATAGCTTCTAATTTGGTGAATATGTTTGAAAAAAAGTGATATATTCAACTTTGAAAACAAAGTCCAATTGCTTTGATACTGTACATATAGGTAGATCTCTCTCAGATTTGTTCATTTTGTGATGATATCTTCAATTCTCTAATTATTTGAATATTTTTGTCATTTTTAGTGAAAAAGAAAAACGATATTTTCGACTTCTTGTTGAAAACAGCAAGCCCAATGGTTTTAATAATATACATACAAGTTCCTCGGGCAGACTTCTATCGGATCTTTCCCTTTTCTAATGATATATTAGTAGTTTAAGTTACACTATAGGGACGGAAACTATTTATCTTCAATTTTATCTCAGTCGAGAGGCAGTTTGTTAGGAACATTTGATAATTAAACATTTAAGAATGTTTTTTTTTCTTTTTTATGGTTGGTGCCTATTTTTTTATACCTAAAATATTTAGTTTTAACCATCCTTCTACGACTACTGTATTTGTATGTGTACTAGTTGCATTATGGTCACGTGATCAGTCACACTCTACGTTTACGTTCCGTAACTTATGAAATTAAATTAACAAATTGCACAGCAAACACGCGCAAGTTAATTTGTTGTCAACATGTCGCATACTCCAAGTTGACGGTGCGTTGGTCTTGTATACAATATTTCTATCACGGCTGTCTTGAATGGTGCTTGGTTATGGCGTGGTATAGAATAGAATAGAATATTGCTTTTAAGAAAATTCTTTTTTGGTTTCTACACATGTAGAAGGGAATAAGGCTCAAGCTATTATTTGCTCTCGTATTGTATATGGTGTTTTTATATATCTAACCCAATAGTTGTCTGGTATGGGCATTTATAATAGATGTAATTTTTTCCTTGTTTTTGATATTGTTGATGTTATCAAACAAGGAATACAAGATCTGAGAGTAACGATAAATTATGTGTATTCGCCACCACACTCCGATTTACCAAAAACTACATAATTAGTGTCAGCCATGGTACATGGTTAAATCATGGTCACTTGAGTGTTACAGCACATACACTTACTGGCGAGTCTCGTCCCCGGTTGTGTCGAAGCATATATATAAGACAGAACTTGATACATATGACAAACAAGCTGCTCTCTGATTGGTCTGACTGTTAGATGTTGGGGTTGGGTAGCCAATCAGGCACAGAATTGCAAGTAGCTTCGCGGTCGTGGTATTACATGCGGTGGTCTTCCCGTGACCCAGATTTGACTCGTACAACCACAAACATTGTGTTCCTAGTTGCAGTCTCAACTAAACCTAACCATGAGTTCAAGCACACTAAATGCTGCCAGGGTGCAAAGGTTACAATGTTATTTTTTTTCTAATGTATCGTCTGTTGTTCTTTTGACCTTTACCCCCACCAACAGAATTATTACAGAAGCATAAACCAATAAAAGAAATTACTAAAAGGCCAAAAATTGACAAGCAAATACGGACGGAAATTTTATATTTTTTGTAGGAACGTCATTTCCGGTCCAATTTTTGCCCAAACTTGCCCCAAAAGGAAAAGCTCTACTTTCGTTAGTTTGCGTAATGTTGCTCATGGTTAGGGATTTTTTTACCCGGAATAGTTTTCTCATATCTAGGACATTTTTTTTGCGGAAATCTTCCAACTCATCACGCATACATTCCCTATGTGAGTTTCCGCTCAAAAATTCCATGTATTCAACAATTCATCGAACAGCTACAGTTAATGAAACTGTTCGTCCAATTCCATAACTAAAGATACGTTCGTCTTTATGTGATTTTTGTTGTGTAGAAATGATGACATTATTCGAGTGATTGCCAGTTAAAGAAGATCGGGAGATAAAGTAAATTCACAATTGCTGCCAACATAGTAAACAAAGTACAAAAATAACACCAAGTATATGATAGGTTAAAATACTACTACAACAAATATTTTCAATAAAATTCTTTGCGCGTAAAAACATTAAAAATCAAAGAAAATATTTTAAAAAAGAAAATGACTATTTTGTGTACAATTCACGAACAGTTACAAGGTCAGAATAAAGAATACATAATCAGCCTCATAGTACTAAACCTTTCACCCGACAGAAATAATGGTACATCCCTGAGTATAGTGTATACGCCACCAACGTTGAACCCATGAGGGTCAAACTCGGGGATATCAAGTGAAATACATGTAATACTCTATATTCAAGAATGACGAGACGTATTGCTGTGGTAAGTGTTTGTGAAATTCATGGTGCTATAATTTCGCCACCGAGCCAAAATCCTAGTCATACGGGCTTGACTAACACCACAGTCAGCTGGCGCACACATGATAATAACATAAATACGATA